ACATACCGTCTGCTTACTTACTGCAACATCACGAATTTGGCGAAGATCTTGCTGAACATTTACCGCAGTATTTGATCGATTCCGTAAAATCCGCAATCTCAAGAAGCGATCATCTCTTGGAGAAGTTTTTCGGGGGCGACCAGAACCGACCCTCCGAGCGGTGCTTCCTGTTTGTTCGTACTTGCGGATTGCTCTACAAGCAGTTGCTTCATGAACTCCCACTGCACAAGCGGCGTAACGTTTACTACGCACATCGTTTACTAACGCAACTAATATTGCTACTTGTTACTTATTTGAGGCATTTTATGTAATTTTAGTCAATAAATCAAGACACTTAATTAATGACACAACGACAAATGGTCAAATATGGAGGCATACAACAAATTAGTTGCTATGGCAATGGCATTTGTTTTTTTGAGGACAATGTGATCCTACCAGAGTACAACCCAATCAATATTGAGTACTCTGATCCTTCAATAAATTTAATTTGTGGGATAAGCGTAAGGTATCAGCAGAAAAGCTGTAATTCGGAAAATTTTAGAGATAAATCAATGAATAAAAAAACAAAATGCTCGCAAAAGAAGCCTCCTTTCGTATAGGGTGCAAGCACTTTGTATACCATCACTCAATTAACACACAGGGTGAGTCAAAAATTAAGAATAAATCATGGTTCGAGTCATTCCACCACCATCAAGGAGGTTTTGGAAGAATTTTCACCTCTTCATTTTTTTTTAAAGACAAATGCATTACCTACCAACAAATAAAAAAAAATAAAAATCGGCCTGCTATTTTTTTTTTTTTTTTTTAAAAGAGGTCAAATATCAAGTGCGTCACTTTTTTGGAACTGAGTTTATATCAAAACCTCAATTTTGGTTAAAAAAGCAGATAGAACCTCATAAATAATTCTAGGGCGAGGATTTTTTTGATAAATCCATATTTCTCTTCTCCGAAAATTTTTTCAAAACAAGGTGTATTTTGTGATATTTCAAGAAATGAATGTCTTCTGCATGGTGAACAAAGAGTTTTACTATAGCAATAATTGCGTTATTCGTACGATAATTTTAATACGTAAACTCCCCTTAACCATTACGCCACTCTTGATCACTGCATTCATACGTCATATATAAAATGTTGTTAATTGAAATCTAGTAATAACTTTTGACTCGAGAAATGAATCACTGGTGCATAACATGTGGTATGCATCACGTGCGTAATAGTATATTACGTAATATGTGATGTAAGAAGCATATTATGCACGAATGTATAATTTACTCCATGAGTGCGTAATTGCTTTACAACACGCATTACGTACTATACTTCACCTACTGCCATATAGTACATCAAAAAAGTTTGGACAAACAGTCTGAATTATAATTCTTGACAGTTATGTCATCAGCTGTTGATGGCGATTACGCGATCATGACATACCTATACTGGCGGAATAAACGAAAACTGTGCGATGTGCTTACTGTACGTGAAGAGCTACTTACTGAGGCTGTATATCTCGTGTATTCTTGCCTACTTTCTATAGTGGCCGTAGGTAAATAACTATTACAATTTTGAATGAATTCTACTTCGAAACATCCTGTATATGATGGAGCGTGTTTTGATTGTCGAGGCTACCGATTGAAATTATTGCGTGATCGTTATGACCTTTGCATGATGTGAAACCCAACGTGAAATGACGATGATTGTGCTGGAGAGTAGGTACACGATGAATTATTGAATAAGAAACACCTGTCACTTTTGGCATGTCTGCGGTCACAGATTGTTTACTATTTCATGGGCGAGCAACAGTCACACAGCACACGAAATCACCAATAAACGACAAAAACTCTCAGAAAGATGCGGAATGTATCTTCTTTGACTACACTACACCATTTTACCATTTTTACCACTAAATGAACCGCTTTTGAAGAAACCTATGTAGGCCTAACTGGGAGATCAATTGAAATTAGATTCAAAGAACATTTTTCACATACGAGTATGTCATACCACAATCATAGCACATACATTAAAACCCCAAAATTGGTCAGAACAAATTGACGATGTTGTATTATTAGAGTACAGGAATAGTGAAGAATATCAGTGATAGAGTTACAAATGAGCCTAAAGGATCTATTGCTGTTGAGTATTGCAAAAAATAGGGCCTGGTATGTCATATCCTTGATTATTAATACTCAATGGTCATATTGATTCCAGAACTCTGGAAGTCATCTATTATATTTCTTGCGTGCTTGATCAACAGGGTATCCCAATCAGATATACAGGGTGTCTTGATCTCAGATTGTAATTTAGTGACAGAGCAGGATTTTATTTGTGCTACCCAGAACTAGGCTTTTATGGACCGCAGCATGTAACTAAGAGCTAGAGCGACAGCGAGGGCTATTAACAAACCTAGGCCCATAATAGCAAGTCAAGCCCGACATTCATCAAAACTTTCGATATGGAATTCATTGATGATTTTGAATTCATTTGGCTAAATTATGTGTGCCACTAGCGAAGAAGGATCGAATGGTAGTCGAAATTACTGAATGAACTGTGGAATTAAACTGGGCGTCAATTGAAACGTTAATAGTGAAATTTGGCATCAAGTTTGACTTCTCGTAATTTCTAAAATATTGAACGAATTTTGAATTGCCGCCCAGATTCTGAATGCCTTTTTCATCGTCTTTTGAACCGTTCCTTACAGCTCCTTCTAAATTGATCAGGATCCATGATACAGGGTGAAACAAAGTTACGTGCATTTTGAAAAAAATTTCTCCGCCCCCCCATTTTGTCGAAAGACCACGATGCTCATATTTTATTCAGGCATTTCATAAATGGCAACCATACCTCGGGACGTTTTCGAGTTTTTGCCAAAAACTACTGTGGTTTCCAAAAAAAAAAATTTTTTAGCATTTTTTTTAAATGGACTAATTACCTGTATCCTCAAAACGATGAATTAGTCTCTTTATTGTCATGACTGACTTATTGAAAATGGTACTTAAATGAGTTTGGGTATATCCTAATCGTCGTAACCTGAAATAATAATTATCTGTACTGAATTATAGTGAATATCACTATAGTGATCTTACCTAATGATATTTTCCATTTCGACCCGATTTGAACGAGGCATCTTTAAATTTTTTAGGACCCAAATTACACTGACGTTTTCATGAAAATTGGCAATTGATATAACCTCTATGCATACCTACATTGTTTCAACAATAAGCTGTTATAGAAACAAGGTATCGTTGTTTGTATTTGTTGATGAGATGTGTTGATTTACTGCTCACTAAGGTAGAAAACTTTTATCATAGACTGCGAAGTAATAAATTATTGATTGTTTTTGAGTAACCTGGTATACATATCTGCTCCAACGATTTCCTGAAATGCATAAAAGCATCCATTTATGGAACTTCTCTAAAGTTAGTCCATTAAAAAAAAAATGCAAAAAAAAAATGTTTTTTTCGGAAACCACAGTAGTTTTTGGCAGAAACTCGAAAACGTCCCGAGGTATGGTTGCTATTTATGAAATGCCCGAATAAAATATGAGCATCGTGGTCTTCTGACAAAATGGGGGGGCGGAGAAATTTTTTTCAAAATGCACGAAACTTTGTTTCACCCTGTATCACGGGTCCTGATCAATTTAGAAGAAGCTGTAAGGAACGGTTCGAAAGACGATGAAGAAGGCATTCAGAATCTGGGCGGCAATTCAAAATTCGTTCAATATTTTAGAAATTACGAGAAGTCAAACTTGATGCCAAATTTCACTATTAACGTTTCAATTGACGCCCAGTTTATTTGACCGTCCGATCGCCTATTTTACCGCCCGCTGTACTCCTCTATCGCCCTAGGAAGCTAAACTGATATTTTACGCCCGCGAATCCCAGCAATAAAGTGTCACTTTACGCCTGGCCGTGAATAACACCTATTAACAGATGTAGAATGTATCTTTTTTGACTACACTACGCTCTCTTACCACTAATTGAACCGCTTCAACATCAAAACTCTGAATTTCGAAGATTTAGATTGTTAGTTGATATAACCTCATTTCAATAAATATATGATTCAACTAGGAAAAAGCCAAATACTCAAATTGGAATGCAATGATCAAAGTCCAATAGTTCATGAAATGAACGAAAATGGAAGATAACGAGAGAAGAACAACTACTTTCTGCTAGTGGTTCAGGAACGTGTGACTAACTACAGACCGGTTTCGAGCTGTTGGCTCTCATCAGTGCGGGGACGTCCCAGATAGCTTCTTGACCACTATCGGGTGCGATTCTGACCCAACAGAAACGCATCTCAGCATTTATACCCCACGAGGCGTTCATCGTCCGCGAAATGAAACGCGAACGCCGATAACGCCACCTGGCAAGGAAAGAAACACTCCAAAACAACATCCCATTTCAGGTGAAATGGGAGTGGCTGGTTGCCCCATTTCACCTGAAATCTATCATTTTATGAACTATTGTGGTAATGACTTCGAGTTTCTCTCTTTGTGGAAATATATGATTGTCAAAACAAACGAACTTTCTTAGTTAGTTGCAATCGTTGTTGTGACCTCACTGTATTGCCATGTGAGTAATTCCCAGCGCTTAGAAGTAGTAAAATAAAATTTATCGTTCTATTGAGAGGGTCCTGACGAAGTATCAATAAATGTCCTCATTCATTAGTAGCAAGCAATAATTGTTAAGCTGTAATTATTTCTACACGTTAAAACCAAATTGTGTTCTATTCAACACACTTCGTTCACTGTGCATGTCGAGTATCCATGGGAACTACAGGGTGATGCCTTGTCCTTGGTTTATTTGTTAATTTTGATGACTAATTCATCCTGTTGAAAAAATAATGCCTTACTTTTGGAAGCATATAGGTACCCTGTTTACTCCCAAAATGGTACCTACCTTGTTTTAGAATTTTTTGTGTTTCGTGGATATGTATAAAATCAAGATTTGTGGAATCAGGTTCTGGGTTGAGAGATATAAAACAATAAATTCTATCGAATGTGGTTTATTAGGACACCTAATATTAACAATTTACACTAATATATATATATATATATTTACTCGGATGGCCTTTTTTACAGCATTGATGATTTTGTACAAATATTTTGTACGGTTCTTGTATCGACACTAAAAAATATTCACATCAAACAATATGGTGAATCTTTTTTCGTGTGATACTCTCAGTAATACCAACGTAACATATGTATAAGTATATAATAACTTTCGAATTATTTACAAGCATAATATACTACTTTATTTTTTATACATACACTTAATAAATAGTATAATAGTGTTCAAATATGTTGTAAGAAGTGACAGATTGTCTCATTATTGGCTGAACTATGCGTGAAGATGATTTTTCATCATGTTACGAGTTTTTTTTATGGTTTTTCGATTTGAATACGATGAATGAGACAATCTGCGTATAGCTTGGCACTTAGTCAAAATTAGGAATCAGGAAAATGTACAAAACATTTCAAATAATACACTTTTTTCCGATAAAATCTTGTGTTTTTAGAGTAAGTACTTTTTACATATATGTCAAGATTCAATCAGAAAAAATATCAATGGTTTATCTATGTACAAGTAAAATTTATACTTAGGAAGGATAACAAAAAAAGTTCACCTACTAATGTAAAATTGCACTGGGTCTTCATAAAAACAATATAATATAACAAAAAACGTCACAAAACATTTTTATGGGGTGAAGTTGAATGAAACGCACAAGCATTCGAATTTTGGCCTAAGGAACTTTGCTTGTGTGAGTTGTTGACTTCTTATCAATCATTACTTGATTAAGAGCTGACGAACTAGTAGATTTTGAATGAATCGTAACAGAGATTTAAAAAAAATGATTATGAAAGTTATTGTAATCCCCCTATTGTCTATGGTTTTAAAGAAAATCAGGCACCAGATTTGAATATTACGAAGATTATGTGCGAGTAGAATACTATACTTTATCTACAACAATTCAAATATAAAAGCAACTCTGAGAGTTCAGAAATATATCTTTGGAAATAATGAAACTTTCTTGGGAAGTTCGTCAGCCCCCAACCGTTCTTCAACATCAATAAATAATCCGGGAACATCCTTATCACCTATATACACTTCCTCCCGGCCCCTATTACCCCTACCACGCCCCCTATTCTCTGGCCCTCTTGGCCAGAGCCTTTGCCAGCTACCACACCAGCCCCTCGTTCAGCTGCTGCGGGTTGTCGGCGAATCCTCCGGGTGACATGAACTCCGGGCTGCCGCCCCCTCGGCCCCCGCCGCCTCCGGGCATCATGTCGGGCCCACCGCCACCAGGCCCGCCTGGCCCGCCCTGCGCCATGAACTGGCCCGGCTCGCCGGGCATGAATTCGCCGCCGCCCATGGGGATGGGACCGCCGTGGTCCATGGGGCCTCCTGGAACGAAAAAAAAAAATGCTTCCTTTAGTTTCATGAAAGAAGATTTCATTTTATATGTCCTATATCTTCACGAGAACGTCACGAAGCTTCAAGCTCGCGAAGAAACATCGGAAAACGTCAACAAACGTTACTAAAACGTTGAGAAAGCGTGACACTTGCATCGAAACGTGAAAAAAACGTTTTAAAAACGTCACGAAAACGTCACGCATTTACCAAGGTCATCAAAAAGCACAATGAAAACGTCATGTATGCGTTGAAATGTTGAAAAGCGTCGAGAAATGTCAAAAAAACACGTGAAAAATATGTACATTCAGCAACATTCTCACGGCTTAGAGCAGCTTATCAAAGAACCCACACGAATTCCCGATGTCAATAACCATTCAGCTAACATACTTGACTTATTCCTTACTAATAATTCAGCACCCTACACCATAGATGTACGAGCTCCACTTGGCAATTCTGACCACACACTCATCTCCACAACCTGCCCATTTTTCATTCCATCAACTGCTCCGGCACCCCCACGTCTTATATGGCATTACAATTCAGGAGATTGGGACGGTCTCCGCATGTTTTTCTCCGAGTTTCCTTGGCATAGAGTATGCTTTGACTCTGAGGACCCTTCACAGTGTGCTGCGGAAATATCCGAGATCATCATGCTCGGAATGGACACATACATACCTCATTTTTCGAAAAGATCATCACCTTCGAAACCCTGGTTCAACAAGAACTGTTCTAGAACTGTTGCCTTGAAACAAACAGCCTACCATCGCTGGCGCAAAAACCCTAACCTCGCGACTAGAGCAGAATACGTTGATGCCAGGAATAACTGCAGCCAAACAATAGATGCTTCGAAAGAAACATACAATGCCAAGATAAGATCGAAACTCATAGATTGCCCCAATGGCTCCCGTTCGTTTTGGTCCCTTGCTAAAGCGGTCGGAAGAAATTTCACTAATAGTTCATTTCCACCACTGTCCAAATCCGACGGCACATTAGCAACAACATCGCAGGAGAAAGCAAATATTTTTGCAGAGATGTTCGCAGCAAACTCTACTTTAGATTCCCAAGGAAAACTGCCGCCAGACATTCCACCCGTTGAGAGTCGAATGCCCGAAATCGTCTTCCGTCAACGCACTATCAGACGAATTTTGCTTGGTCTCAAAACAAATAAGGCTAACGGTCCTGATGGAATTCCACCCATTATCCTCAAAAAATGTGCACCAGAATTAACACCGATTATCTGCAAGTTGTTTACCATCTCGTACAGGTCGGGTATTTTTCCATCATGCTGGAAGACAGCTAGAGTCCAACCAATCCCCAAAAAAGGGAACAAGAACCTGCCCAACAACTACAGGCCCATTGCCCTGTTATCAGTAATCTCCAAAGTGATGGAGAAAGCCATCAATATTGAGCTTATCAAATATCTGGAGAGCTCAGGAATCATCAATGATAGACAATACGGCTTTCGCCACCGAAGATCTACTGGAGATCTACTTGCCTACGTCACCCATTTATGGCAATCTTCAATAGAAAAACACGGGGAATCCCTAGCTGTCGCGTTGGACATTTCGAAAGCATTCGACCGTGTTTGGCACGAAGGACTCCTCCACAAACTACCATCATACGGCTTACCACCTCAGCTATGCCATCTCTTATCGAGTTTTCTTTCAGGCAGATCGCTTCACGTGGTGGTGGACGGTGTATCGTCTGATACCTTTGGCATCAATTCCGGCGTTCCACAAGGATCAATTTTGGCACCAACATTATTCCTGCTTCATATCAATGATCTGTTGGGAGTAACAACTTGCCCCATTCATAGCTTTGCAGATGATAGTACCCTCCATACTGCGTTCTCTTCTAGGATTCCCATTTCTTCCCAGGAAACTAAGAACTCACGGCGCAGGCAGGTCATTGCTGTCAATGAAGATCTTGCTGAAATCACAGCCTGGGGAACAAACAACCTAGTTGAATTCAACGCCACCAAAACCCAAGCCTGCATTTTCTCTAGAAAGGCGGAACTCAGTATGCCCGATATTGTAATGTCTGGCTCCACCATCCCCACCAAGCCCACCATATCTATGCTCGGTATTTCCATCAGCAACACTCTTTCATGGGATAATCATGTCAGATCCATCGCAAAAGCTGCTTCACAAAAACTCGGATTCTTGTTCCGTGCGAAAAGCTACTTTACACCTCAACAGCTTCTCATGATCTACAAAGCGCAGATACGGCCTGTTCTAGAATACTGTTCCCACATATGGGGTTCAGCACCAAAACATACACTGATGCTCTTAGATTCCATCCAGAGAAGAGCCATTCGCCTGGTGGGTGACGCCACACTCACTCACTCTTTGACATCATTGGAACATCGTAGAAAGGTCGGCGACCTTTCACTTTTCTATCGATACTTCCACGGGAAATGTTCTTCGGAAATCTCTGCTATCATCCCTTCACTAGCAATACCAGTCAGACGAACTAGACAAGCCCAGTCAGCACATCCCTTCGTTGTCAACCTCGAAAGATGCCGAACAGCACTTTATCAAAACTCCTTCATCAATAGAACGGCTAGGCTCTGGAATTCATTGCCTGTGGAAGTGTTCCCAACAACATATAATCTCCAGAAGTTCAAAAAGAATTCCAATACCTACCTCCTATCCCTATCCTCCCTAGGAACGCACGATGTTCTTTGAACATTATAGGGATTCCCTCTCGTGCGCTCCAAGCGATAAAAAAAAAAAAAAAAAATTGGTGAGATAGGGATGGATTGGGATGAGAGTGGTATTTGTAGATGATGATATAGTAAACCAATTCGATTATTCGGAATGATTTCTCCATTTTTGAGTTGATCTCTTGAAAATTTCGAAATTTCAATGAAGTTGATGACGATTCCTGCGTTATTTCCGATTTCAAGAATCTATACATTTTTTATGATTCATGAATAAATCGCGGTGTCTATCCCTGAAATTCATGTAAGTAGTGAGCTATATTACTTTCATTCCAATCGATCACTATTTCACCATATACTGAAAAATACCAGCTCGCCAAAGTCACGAAAACGTGTAGGAATGCTCCAAGCTCGCAAGCTTTCTAAAACGTTGAGAAAGCGTGACACTTGCATCGAAACGTGGAAAAAACGTTTAAAAAACGTCACGAGAACGTCACGCACTTACCAAAGTTATCAAAAAGCACAATGAAAACGTCATGTATGCGTTGAAATGTTGAAAAGCGTCGAGAAATGTCAAAAAAACACGTGAAAAATATGTACATTCAGCATGGGTGAGATAGGGATGGATTGGGATGAGAGTGGTATTTGTAGATGATGATATGGTGAACCAATTCGATTAATCAGAATGATTTCTCCATTTTTGAGTTGATCTCCTGAAAATTTCGAAATTTCAATGAAGTTGATGACGATTCCTGCGATATTTTCGATTTCAAGAATCTATACATTTTTTGTGATTCATGAATAAATCGCGGTGTCTATCCCTGAAATTCATGTAAGTAGTGAGCTATATCACTTTTATTCCAATCGATCACTATTTCACTATATACTGAAAAATACCAGCTCGCCAAAGTCACGAAAACGTGTAGGAGTGCTCCAAGCTCGCAAGCTTTCTAAAACGTTGAGAAAGCGTGACACTTGCATCGAAACGTGAAAAAAACGTTTAAAAAACGTAACGAAAACGTCACGCATTTACCAAAGTCATCAAAAAGCACAATGAAAACGTCATGTATGCGTTGAAATGTTGAAAAGCGTCGAGAAATGTCAAAAAAACACGTGAAAAATATGTACATTCAGCATGGGTGAGATAGGGATGGATTGGGATGAGAGTGGCATTTGTAGATGATGATATGGTGAACCAATTCGATTAATCGGAGTTGAGTTGATCTCTTGAAAATTTCGAAATCTCAATGAAGTTGATGACGATTCCTGCGTTATTTCCGATTTCAAGAATCTATACATTTTTTGTGATTCATGAATAAATCGCGGTGTCTATCCCTGAAATTCATGTAAGTAGTGAGCTATATCACTTTTATTCCAATCGATCACTATTTCACTATATACTGAAAAATACCAGCTCGCCAAAGTCACGAAAACGTGTAGGAATGCTCCAAGCTCGCAAGCTTTCTAAAACGTTGAGAAAGCGTGACACTTGCATCGAAACGTGGAAAAAACGTTTAAAAAACGTCACGAGAACGTCACGCACTTACCAAAGTTATCAAAAAGCACAATGAAAACGTCATGTATGCGTTGAAATGTTGAAAAGCGTCGAGAAATGTCAAAAAAACACGTGAAAAATATGTACATTCAGCATGGGTGAGATAGGGATGGATTGGTATGAGAGTGGTATTTGTAGATGATGATATGGTGAACCAATTCGATTAGTCGGAATGATTTCTCCATTTTTGAGTTGATCGCTTGAAAATGTCGAAATTTCAATGGAGTTGATGACGATTCCTGCGATATTTCCGATTTGAAGAATCTATACATTTTTTGTGATTCATGAATATATCGCGGTGTCTATCCCTGAAATTCATGTAAGTAGTGAGCTATATTACTTTTATTCCAATCGATCACTATTTCACCATATACTGAAAAATACCAGCTCGCCAAAGTCACGAAAACGTGTAGGAATGCTCCAAGCTCGCAAGCTTTCTAAAACGTTGAGAAAGCGTGACACTTGCATCGAAACGTGGAAAAAACGTTTAAAAAACGTCACGAGAACGTCACGCACTTACCAAAGTTATCAAAAAGCACAATGAAAACGTCATGTATGCGTTGAAATGTTGAAAAGCGTCGAGAAATGTCAAAAAAAACACGTGAAAAATATGTACATTCAGCATGGGTGAGATAGGGATGGATTGGGATGAGAGTGGCATTTGTAGATGATGATATGGTGAACCAATTCGATTAATCGGAGTTGAGTTGATCTCTTGAAAATTTCGAAATCTCAATGAAGTTGATGACGATTCCTGCGTTATTTCCGATTTCA